TCGGGTCTCGCAGAAGGAATCGAGCGGCAGCTCCCTCGGGCAGAACCGGCTGCTGCCGCCGGGAAACTATTTTCCTGAGGGATTTACTCAAAATATTGAAGGCAAATTAAAAGAGTATGAAATGCAGCCACATTGGCAATCGGGGTGAGCTCCGTCCGTCTGTCTGGTCACACGCAGCTGGGGAGGGATCTCACCCCGAATCCCTTCTCCGCCCGGTTCAGTGCCGGGAGCTGAGCTCGCCCCTGGGTCCCGCTCTGCCCTGGGGTCCCCCAAAACCCACGGGAGCGGCTTTGCTCATCCCCCCCCCCTCCTCTGCCCCCACGCTGCTTCGCGCTCCTGCCGGTGCCCGGGTTTGGCTGCGGGTGCCGTGGGGAGCACGCGGCTCAGCCCCACACCCCGGCTCATCCCGGCTGTGGGGCAGCCCCACACCGGCACCTTCCTCCCTCCCCGAGAGCGGCCGGGGGTCACTCCGCTCTGGCACCCGCCGGGGTGCAGGGGGGAGGTTGGGCAGTGTCCTCCCGGGGACAGACGGACAGGCTGGAGGGAGGCACGCCGGGCTCCTGCCCATTATCTGAGCGCAGGGGGGATCGCTCCGGGCTGCACCCAGACCCCCAGGACAAGGGTGGGAGGGGTGGAGGGTGCAGGATGGGCCGGGGCTGGTATTTCTCCACCAGCTTTTGTTTCCCCCCATTGTCTCTCCCTGAGCTGCCTGCCTGCCATCATCCTCCCTCCTCACCCAGGCACCAGAGATGCTCAAACCACCTCCTTTTCCAATTGTTTTTTTTTGTTTTTTTTTTTTTTTTTTTTCCTGAATTTAACAAGCATTGGAAAAGTGTAAAGAAAACACAACTTCAGAAAATGCTGAATTAAGCAGACAGGGTTGAGGTCGGTATTTTCTGCCTTGGCTTGGTCACCACCCGCCTTGGACACGTGAGCTCATCCCTCTCTCAAGGCATCGACAGCGAGTCCGAGCCCAGGGTTAAGCTCAGCCCAGCCAGGCAGGGTTTTAGGGTGACGGGGGCCGGTGGCACGTGGGGCGCAGCTCCGAGGTGACGAGCCCTGATGGGACACGGGCAGCTGGAGGAAGCCGGCGCCTGCTTGAGCTGCAAGACTTAAAAACCCAACCTCCAGCCTCCTCCGTGCTCCCCCGGGCCCCTCTCCCCTGCTGCCTCTCCGCCTCCAAAACCCACAAAAACATCCAAACCCCTTCTGCAGGGAGTAAATTCACCCACCACGTATCAGTCGCGCACCAAACCGCTCCTGACACCGAGCTGATCTGAAAATTGCCCTAATTCAAAGTCCTTGAAACGGGAGCTAAGTTTAGGATTGCGTGAGCAGCTCGGGGAAGGATGCTGCCAGCAGCGGGTAAAGACACACGGAGCCGCCACCTCTGCGCGCCCCGCGGTGCTGGAGCCCTCCAGGTCCTCTCTACCTCTGGCCAGAGGGATAAGCAAGCTGGTATCTTCCCCAAAACCCCTCCCCAGCCCACCCGGGGAGTCGGTGCTTCTGGCACCAGGGTTCGGTGTCGCGGAGGCAGAGCCGGGCTCGGGGAAGAGGCGAGAGACCCCGGCTGGTGCTCAAACCGCAGCGGCTGTTTTCGAGCCACGCTCCCCTACGGCTGCAGAGGGAAAAGGCGGGAGAGGTTTCGTACTCACACGCTACAGCTCCGAGCTGCAAAGACCAAGGCAAAAAAAACCTGAGTAAAATGGGCCCGAGCTGCTCTGGGGAGAAGCCAGCAGAGAGCCGCGTCCCCAGGACTGAGCAGCGTCCCCAGGGCTGAGCACAGCACCTGCCAGTTGGGTTCAACACTGCTGCAGTCTGCAAGGAACGGCAAATAAAACTGTCACAGACCGGGGTAAGTCAGCTGGGAGCACTAACACCTTCCCCACGTCTCCTTCCAAGCTCCAGAAACAGGTTTAATACTTGCAGTTTTGCAGAGAGGGCACTGAACGCCCTTCAGAACCGCTCCTTATCTTCAAGGTTTTGCTGCTATTGCAGCTGGAAACCAGGATGAACCGAAGCAGCTATTTCACAGTTAAGGACAAGGAGCAAAGGCACCGCTTCACCCCACGGAAAATGAAGGAAAAAAGCTCGGGAGGGCAGAAGAGCTGAACCCCGGCGGTGGTCACGGGGTGGTGAACACACACCTTATCCCTCTCGCGACAGGTCACGGGTATTTCGTGATTTTCAAGACTCGTTTCACCTGGAAGAGGTGAAAGTCACAGCAAGCAGCTCCGCGCGGAGCATCCTCCGAGGGCAGAGCCCGGTCTCCCCTTCAGCGGTCCCCGGCGCTGGGAGGGAACGTGGGATTTCCCTGGAAGGGATCCCGCAGGGATCCGGGGGCTCTTCCAACAGCCCACGGGCAAGAGCGCAGCGAGGAGACGTCCCTGGGGGGTCCCCAGGGGGATTTGGGCTGAACCCGCGTTGGGGAAGGTGCCGGTCAAGGTTTGGTTGGGCAGATCGCCCGCTGCTCCCGCACGCCCGGCCCCGGGCACCGCTGGGCCAGCTCAGCAACGGGTGGGCAACCCCGGCCCTGGTGACCACCAGCAGCATCGTGTTTCTAGCCCAGCACCAGAAACCCGGGAGCATGCTAGAAACGCTGCCGGTTTCGCCGGACAGCGGGTTGGTTTTAATCACGCTTCAACTCGGAACGCCAGGAAACGAGGAATTTGGGGGGGAAGGGGGGGTGTGGAAAAAAAAAAAGAAAAATTTCCAATCCTCAGCCCTAGGTTTCCCGTTGAAGCCTCCAGGAGACACCCCACTGCCCGAGAGCTCCCGAGAAGGGTCCCGGCCCCGTGACCCCCGGCAGCGGCGGGAGGGTTCGATGAAAAGGGCAATTCCCAGGGGGGCAGGACCCGGGGCCGGGCGGGAGACGGCGCAGACAAAGGGCGAGTCTGTTCCTGGAGAGCCCGGCACAGCCAGCCCTGCGCTCGGCACCCCGACCCCGCCGCACATCGCTCCCTGCCGGGATTTTGGCGGGGGGGGGATTCATCCATGGGATGGGTGCCGGGGCCTGGCGACACCCACCGGGGTTTATCCCCAGTGGCCTGGTTGCTGTAAAACCTGTGGAGCCTGAGAAGGAGTTTTAAAATCCTTCACTTTAAAGTTTCACGTGAGAAAGGCACGGGAATTGAAATAACGGTGTCAGAGGACAACGTGCGCTCGCGTACTTGGACGCCCCAAAGTCTTGAGGTGTCCTTATGTGCATTTTTGGCTTGGAGTCAGCCAGGGGAAGGAATTAAAAAAAAAAAAAAAAAAAAAAAATCAGCTTTTTAGGAACCACATGGTGGAGCTGGTATTGCCAGACAAGACACAGCCGCAATGGGGAATTTTAGGATATTATTAGGAAGTGGAGACAAGTGCAGGCAGGGGGTGTGAACGTCTGTTCCCGTTCCTGGTCCGCTGCCCCAACGCTTCTCCTGCCAGCAAAGCAACAGCGCTAAGAAAAGAATCCTGCACACCAGATCTGCTCGCCCCGGCAGTATCAGATTATTCAGATGAAGATGCAAACCCCTCCCAGCAGTGTGTTTTAGGAGGGAGAACAGATTTTTTTTTCTGGATGGGGCAGAAGGGCTCAGCCCCGAGCAGGTCAGCTTCCATTTACCCCAATGACATCTCGGGCTCCATGACCCCACTGCCCTTGCGGAGTCGACACTGAGCCAGTTTAGAAGAGCTGCAGTTTAGAGCCCTGGCCTAAACCTGCCCTTAAGCTTAGCGCATTTGTATCACAAAGCTGCAAACAGGAATGAATTTGCTCCCGCTAGCCCCACGGCCCAGCGGCCCCAGACACCCCCGGCCTTCGGTACCGGCCCCCACCCCATCACTAGGCCCAGCTGTGGGGTCAAAAGCGGGGTCCCAGAGAGCATCTAAACCCCCACTCCACTTCTAATTACGGCCAAGACGACAGCCTCGCCCCAGCCATCTTCTGTGACTGCAAAGCTTTAAAGACCCATAAATGAGACAAAAAAAAAAAAAAGTTTCAAAAATCGACATATGATCTACCTTGTTCTCTGCGTTCCTTGGGAAGACGAGGGGAGGAGGAAGGACAATCGCTGGCCGTGCTGGAGGATGAGGAGGGTGCAAGAGCAAGGGACGAGCCTCCCCGAAGGCATCTGGAGCGCGAAGGCACGAGGAGCTCCCGGCCCCAAGCAGGAGCGGCACGAGGGAACCGGCCAAGGCAGCACCCGGCCCAGAGCCCGGCCCTGGGGGCCTCCCACGCCAGCCCAGGAATCCCCAAACCGGGGAGGGAGCTTTTTTTGGGGGGGGGGGGGTGTGTGTCCTGGCCCTGGGGGCTCATCTCCAGCCCTGGGCTTCTCCTCCCTCCTCCAGCTGCAGGGCCTGGGGCTGCGGGCACTACACCCCCCGGCGCACAAGCGCCAGGAGGACGCTTCCCCAGGGGCAAAGGCTCTTGGTGAAGTAGCCGGAGCAGTTAGAACATAATCCCGACCGAATTCCTGGTTTCGGTTTAATCAAAAAGGCAAATTATCCTGGCAGCCTCCGGAGCCCTGCAGGAGAGGACAAAAGATCAGAGCAGGCGGCTGAATTAAACGATTAGCAGCCAAGCCGGTACGGGGATAGAGGAACGGTGGGACCCTGCGAGGTCAGCTTTGTGCCCTCTTTGAAAATCCGGCCCTTCAGAGCACTTCTTCCAAGGGCGTGATTCAACTGGGAACAGGAGCCCGAGCTAGCGCCGCGAGACGGCGGGAAAGCAGGACTCGGACAGAAATAACCCCCTCGGGCCTCGAATGCTGTTTCACTTTGTCCACAACCGTTCGGCTTTCCGGGTCTGACACGGCGTCCGGCGAAGCGGCGGATCGGGCCTGCGCTTACCTGCGCCGCTCCGGTGCCTCCCACCCGGCTGGGTAACGGGCTCAGCCTTTGCATTCACCCCACCGTAATTAAGAAGCAGCCCTAAAATAGACCCGTATCACATTAACAATTCTCGGCTCATCCACAGCACACAGGGAGGGAAAGGAGACTCCAGACAAACTGGCACAAGCTTTGTACAAAAAAAACGCATTTTTTTTGTTTTATTTCACAAAATTGGGTGGCTGTGTTGCAGGAATAAAACCGGCCCTATACATAGGATCAGATGAAAAAGTCAGCACGTGTATTATTTATACAGAAACACAACAGTGTCAAGAATTCAGGTACTCTGCAGGATTATCACTAGTACAGTAAAAAATAGTCTCCATCTGGATCCTTTATATTTGAAGTTGATCACGCTAAAAACAACCTGAGGTTATTCTAAACTGGACTATGGTCTGAACCAGAAAATCCCATGCTCGCCCCAAAGACCCTGGAGGGAAAAGGGAACAGTGGGGATGAATTTCCTTTGCGGGAGGTGGCAGGCAGGCAGGCACTGGGGGTTCTGAGAGCCCGACGGCCGCGAGCGCCGTCCCTGCGCACGGGAGGGAACGCGGCCGCAGCCCGAGCGCGCGGCGGAGGCGCGGGCAGCCCAAAGTGGTTACTCCACACTCATGTACTCCCAGGACCCGGGGAGTTCGACCGTGAACATCAACGAGTCAATCACCTGAGTGCTCTTCAAAGCAAAAAAAAAAATTTTTTTTTTTTCTTTTTTTAAAGTGGTACAAACTCTTCCGGAGGTTTCAGATTATTTGGGAGATCTCCCTCTGGTCAAGCCTCAGAGCCCCGCCTCGCGCTCGGTCGCTGAGAGCCACCCTTTGAAGAAGCAAAACCATCTTCAGACCCTCGGCGAGGAGCCAGGGAAAGGGCAGAGCACCCCAACCACAGTCGCCAAAGGATTTTTTTTTGCAGCCCCCCCCCGAGGAGCGGGCCAGCGGTTCTGGCAGCGCCGAGGTCTGGCTCCGCGAGCGGGAGGGGATGGGTGAGCTGTCCCGGGGACGCGCAGCACGGCCGCTGACCCTGCCCACCCCGGCTGGCCGCAGGAGGTAGTTCTGGCATTGGCATCCCAGCCATCCCAACCCAATCCCATAGCTAACACTTCTTCGCTATCTACTTTTTTTTTTTTTTTTTTTTTTTTTTTTTTTTTAACTCTCTCTTCTCCTCATTTGAAAAAGTAAAAAGGATATGCTCCAAAAAGAGGGACTAAAAATCATGGTTTTATTCCTCAGTTGGCTACTGTACCAAACTACTCGGAGGGAAGGCTCAACTACCACCTTCAAAGGCAAAAGGAAGTTAAAAACTGGAGCAAGAAAACTCCTACCATTGAGTGGTTTTATTCCAATTGATTCACTCCTGGCTTCATTCGCACTGGATCAGTATTTTCTTTAATAAGTTAGCGAGGCAGCCCCGGGACTATCTGTGTGGGATGAATACAGCTGGCACTCCTGCACCTTCTGTGCTACAGCGCGCCCTTATTTTCCTTCTCTGCTCAAAACACTGGTTTGGCATCCGACCGTGATGCTTTGCCCTGCCTGGAGAACCCAAAACATTAAATCACGGGTGGAGTGGGCATGTGCTACATCCCAAAGCTCAGCTAATGCCTCCACTTCAAAAGCTTGGGTGTTTTTTTGTTTGTTTGTTTTTCTTTTTTTTTTTTTCTTTTTTTTTTTTTTTTTTTACACTCTCTTCAGGAGAACCCAAAGCTCAAAACACCAAGATGAACGAAACCAGAGTCGAGCGCGCTCTGAAAGGCAAGCAGGCCAAAGCGCGAAGGACTTCCCACCAGCAACACGGAGGCACCACTGGCATCTCTGACCTAAAGCTTTCCCCGAGGAATGCCAAGTACTGCCAGGTCACGAGTGGTGGGGAGAGGAGGGGGGGGAAAAAATACCCCACGCTGTGTATATGTGTATGGATATGCACGCACACACAACCGGGGCGGAGCGACGGGAGGTGGAAACCTCCCAAGGGAACAGAAGGTAACTGAGGAATTCATTTTTGGTCACCACGGTGTTGCTGTAGAAGTTCCTTCTTCCTTGGCTGCTTAGGGAGCGGCTGGGGCCGGGGGGGCTCCTGCCGGAGGGGGGGTCACCCCTTCTGCTGGCGGAGGCGGCTGTGCGGGAGGGGGATCTGCAAAAAAAAAAAAAAAAAAAACCAAAAAAACCGGTGGAGAAACAGTGAGCAGGACACCAGGAAGGGCTGAACGCGGAGAAGGAAGGCAAGGCTCAGATGTCCAGACGCCCACGGGACCGGCCCGCAGAGGCGGCCGCGGGTTCCCCCTCTCAGGCTTCAGGTGAAGCTCCGCTGCACGTGTTGCCCTGCTCTCCCCCCACTACGCGCTGTGCGGACTCTGTCAGAGAGGGGAAAACTCCCCTGTTCTTCACAGCAGCTGGCAAAGTTCACGTCGAGCAACTTTCAGAGCAGGAATTAGCATTTCTCATCTCCCAGCTCTGGGCTCCGGCCTTTAGATTATGGCTCTTTTCTACTTAAAATAGCTGGAACAATGGACTTTACATAAACAGAGCCTGCACTTCAGCTCTGAACAGTGTATGTAGGTTAAAGTAGAGGAATCCACAGATGCAGCAAGTAGGAGGAAAGAAATGAAGGATACAAAAGGCCAGCTTTCAGGCACCGAGAGATGTTAATGGAACACGACTGACTTGTTTAGTAGGGGAGGGGAAAAAAAAAAAAAGAAATTAAGAGAAGGGAAGAGAGCAAGCAGGAATATAGCCTGACATAAGATATTCCCAGAGGTAGAGACTCAGAAAAAGGGAAGGAAAACTAAGGGAAGCTAGAGCACCAGACGAATAAAGAGCAAATGTCTGAACTAAAATAGCATCAGAATGGAGTAGTTCATGCTCACGCTGGTTAACACCGATGAGTCAGTACTCCCCAGCAACTCCCTTCAGCTGAAGCCAAAATGGGATGGCTTTTCCCAATTATTTTTTCCAGAGAGATCCTACAAACAATCACAATTCCTGCCTCGCTGGTGCTAGCTGCGCCAAATAACATTTCTGGGGTTACGGCTGCAGCGCTGAAGCAGACCAGCAGCTTGTCCCAGGCTGCAAGTTACACTGAGGAATTTACTGAGGAATTCACGCCAGAGCAGCCTGCACCAGCCCGGCCAGCTTTTCTTTTGCTTTCTGGGTTTGGCCACAGTCTCACGCTCGTTCAAGTAACACCCACACAGGGGCTACTGATTTCAGCCAGTTTTATATATTTTTTTTTTTTTTTGGCTGGCATAAATCAACTTCATTTTCAGAGGTATAGGTATTTATGCCATGTAAGGAACATTCCTGATATACCTTTTGCTTCTGCCTAATTAGGACTTCCTCTTTTTAATTTCACAGTGCTAATTTTTCTGTAAGGTACTGAAATGGATTGTATTCTGACCCCCACTATTTAAAGATTTAGCTGTAAGTTAATTCCTGAACCTCTACTGCGCATTCTTCCAGGCTACGTCAGGAGAGGTTTTTGATGATGACCCCAGAGACTCAGTGTCATGGTGAATAAAATAAGGGATGTTATAAATAAAATAAAGGAGAATGGAGGATGTTTGGATGCCTAGGGGGGAGACAAGCACTTAAAGCTTCGCGCACACCTCTGGCACTAGCCTTTGACTGCCAGCACGCACAGATCCTATTTTTCCTGCAGCAGATAAAGGGGTTTCCACTACAAGCCCTTTATCACACCAGGTTTATTTGGAGCGTTTTCTGCTGGAGATCCACTTACACATGCCATTTGGAGCTGCCAGAGGAACGCGAGGTCCAATGAGATTTCCTGACATGGGCGACATGCCGGGCGGGGGGGCACCGCTGCCGGCTGGGTGGATGTTGGCTGACACACTTGGCATCATCCGGCCCGGCAAGGGCTGTCCCGGTATCATCGACCCGGGCCCCGGCATCTGACCTGCGAGAGATTGGGAGACTCGTGTGAAACAAGGAAGGCATCAGAAGGACAAAACCAGAGTCTAGTTGTTTTCCAAGCAGTGAGAAAAAAAACAAAACAAGTCTTGTGTATGCACGAGAGCCAACTCCAAACATGCTCCAAGCACCGAAGGAAATGCCTTTTTACCCCCCCAGCCAACACAGTCCCTTCAGGAAGAGCCACGGGGGCACTTGTCATCTCTCAAAAACATCAGCCCAAGAAGGTCACACTCACAGTCAAACAGCGAACCCCGACCGAAAAGGCATTTGACAGCCATCTAAACGAAGGCGCAGGAAACAAACTGCACTAGAATAATGAGGCAACCAAGTAAGAGCACTTGATGAAGGAGAACAGCCACACAGCCTGATGGATTAATTTAACGGGAGAACTGGAATCACACAGTTAAAAATTGCACTGTACGGACGCTTCTACTATTAAGCCCCCTATTCTGACGTGAGGGAGGGTTCCAGTAAGGCTTCCTTACCTATCAGCTCTGTAAGAGGCCTTTATTTTTCAGCTATATAAAGGAACTGCTGGACTCGCCCAGCTTCAGACACCTACAACTTGCTGACCGATGCTTTAAAATCTCATTTGAAGAGATTATTTTGCATAATCCAGTTACATTTACTTTTACACACTTACATAAAGGTACAGCATTTTAGTTAGAAAAGCAGCTATTAGGCATGGATTGCAAAGGCTTCCTTCCCATGGGCTCATTCCGCCCCAAACCCCAGGCAATTATGTGAAACAAAGTGTGATGACAGAACCCTCGAACCAAAAAAAGGCTCTGAACATACTTAAAAAGCATCACAGCCACACCGGCGGTTAAAGCCAAGAAAGGGGGAGCTCTGGATTTGGGACCGAGTCAATACCTCGGCACAAACACTATTTATTAACTCTTACTTGTGCTCACCTTCGCAACAAGAGCTTTGAGCAGTGTTTTATTGGTCTCTGTTACTTCTGTTTTCCAGGATGCCAGGAAATTGCGCTGGCTCACCAGCTGCTGCCTGAAACGGGCAGGTTCCAGCTCTTCACGAGCATCCTCAGGCAGAGGTGGGACCACACGGGCCCACCAGCAAGTCAGCACAGCCTGGACGGGAGACGGCGCAGCAAACGGTGGGCTGGCCTGCGCCTGGATGCTTGGGAATTTATGACCCAAAAGAATAATGATCTGCACTTTAAAATAACCCTGGTGACCAGAAGCAAACCCTGCTCTTTGAGAGCGGTGGCTGCTCAGTGCCTGAGGGCTGCGTCTCACCCTCTCGCAGCGGTGAAGTCCACCAGCCACCTCAAATCCTTCCCCTCCAGCGCCCTTCTGCAGGAAGCTTGAGGGGCTCGCTGGAGAGCACTCCCCCCGGCTGAGCAATCGTGAAAAAAGAGGAAACACAAGTCCAGGGGGTTCCTCCACCTCCCCGAAGTTTGGTGCCTTCGCTAACCACACACGTCCGCCCTGCTCAGCCACGTCCCCCCAGAAGATGCTCGTCTTTGGTATCTCAAGCACTTGGCAGCTCATCTAGCTCTCACTGCTGGTCTCTGCCTGTAGTTCCAGGGGACTTTAAGCCAATAACCTGCTCTTTGAGAAAGACAGGCTGTCCTTGCCGAAAGGCAAGGCAGGACGACGGTATGAGGGAGGACTTGCTTCCGAAACTGGAGCCACTAGCAGTGCCAGCACAAAAGACTCCAACCCACCACGGCCCACTGGCTTCCTACAGCCCTGGAGATCTGTGGCTGAGGTGCTGAACCGCCTGAAATTCACGGCGACTCTGAAGCATCAAACCATGAAACCGTAACACAGGAGCTCCTGGTCACGCAAGCAAGAGGTCCACGTGCCAGCCTGCCGCCGCTCCACCACGGGAGCAAGACTAGCACACCTGCAAGCAGCTGATACGAAGCTCCACAGAAACCATCAGATTCCTCAAATGTTTACAAAGGAAAGAAGAACTCTGAAAATTTAGCCCTGGCCGCACTCCGTCGCTGATCAGCAGCCTGCAGCGCCTGTCGTGGCATTTCCATCGCTGTGTATTAAAGAGCAGCAGCCAACCAGAAAAGCTGTGTACGGTTGAGCCTTTAATCCCTTCTTTTGTCCCCACTGCTAACGCAGTATTTTCTGCTTTGGTGATGGTGAATAGGTGGTTTTGAAGAAGCCCTGTGGAATCCTTACGCCTCCGCTCAACGGCCTAAAGAAAAGGTGGAACGGTTCCTAAAACTGCGTGGCAAGCCTTTGTGGGTAACTCGAGGTGACCGAGTCCTGTAAGACAAGAGCTCCGGTGACCGGTTTCCCTCTCGCAGACGAGGTGCTCCTCAGTGGGCCTTCCCCTCACGAGTGGGAGGACCGAAGTGTTATCTCTGTCACAGAATAACTTGGGTTGGAAGGGATGTCAGGAGGTCTCTGGTCCAGGCTCCTCTCAAAGCAGGGTCAGCTCTGAGGTCACACTGGGCTGCTCAAGGCTTTGTCAAGACTTGCCTGCTCTCCACAAGCGCCAGGAACGGAGACTGCACCACCTCCCTGTACAACCTGTGTCAGTCCTTGACCTCTTTTTGACTGGAAATCGAAACCTCTCATGTTCCAGCCCGTGTCTCTCACTTTCTCTTACAGAAAAGCCCGTCTCTGTCTTCTTGATGACCTCCTCCAGGTACAGTTGCTGGCAGGTCCCTCCAAAGCCGTCTCTCCGGGCTCAACAGGCGCAGTGCTCCCCATGGGGAAAGTGCTCAGGCCCTTGGACCACCTTGGGCAGCCCTCTGCTGAACTCACTCCGGTTTAACTGGTGCCTTTCTTGTACTGGGGGGCTCCAATCCTCCAGATCTGGTCTAACAACTGCCGAGCAGTGGACAACCACATCCCTCAACCTGCTGCCCGTGGCTCCCGTTCGTACAGCCTGGGACGCTGCCGGTCTCCACCGACTCACGCTGGGCTCGCTGCCCACCAGGACCCCCGGGGGGCCGTTTCTGCAGAGCTGCTGCTCAGGGTTAGCCCCCCCCCCAGGTACAGGATTTTGCATTTGCCCTTGCTGAATTTCACAAGGCTTCTGCCAGCCCGTCCCTCCAGCCCGCCTCAGCCCTCCTGAACGGCAGCCCTGCCCTCCAGCGTATCGACCGACAATGCGCAGGTAACAGAAGGTTTAAGCAGACGTGGCACGAATGTCCTGCTGCTGGCATCCGTGCACCTGCTCTGGTGCAGCTCACTCCGAGATGAGGAGCGGGCAGGGAGGGCATGGCAGGCAACATGAGAACACTGTCACCGAAAGCAACAGCCCGGCGCGGGCTGAGGCTTAAAGACACCGTAAGCGATTATCTCGAGAAGTGGGTCGGGAGCCACAGGATCGGCGCTGTTGAGAGACAAAACGCTGCTAGGTGTGCAAACTGCAGGCTCTCTGTGTGCTAGGTGTGCAAACTGGAGGCTCTCTGTGTGCTAGGTGTGCACAGAGCCCATCTGCAGGCTCTCTGTGTGCTAGGTGTGCAAAGAGCCCATCTGCAGGCTCTCTGTGTGCTAGGTGTGCACAGAGCCCATCTGCAGGCTCTCTGTGTGCTAGGTGTGTAAACTGCAGGCTCTCTGTGTGCTAGGTGTGCAAACTGCAGGCTCTCTGTGTGCTAGGTGTGCAAACTGCAGGCTGTGTGCTAGGTGTGCAAACTGCAGGCTCTCTGTGTGCTAGGTGTGCAAACTGCAGGCTCTCTGTGTGCTAGGTGTGCACAGAGCCCATCTGCAGGCTCTCTGTGTGCTAGGTGTGCACAGAGCCCATCTGCAGGCTCTCTGTAATCGGTCCTGTGCTAGTGCTGAGCTTCCAGGAAACTGCAGAAAACCAGCTGGGGGGTATTCACGATCTCAGCCCAAACAGATCAGCCGGCTGGAATATGCAGCTGCACAAGGGCAGCTGGTCAAGCTCCAGGAATTAGGATTCGCCCTGATTTGCAGGAGACAGATGTGGGAACTTCTCAGGTGCCCAATGGTACGTGATGACCCGTGGCAGTAGCGTCACAGCAGCTTGAATTCCAGTTGCTGGAAGCTCTGGGTGAAATACTAAACAAACAAACATGAAAAAAAAAAAAAAAAAAAAAATCCTGTATCGCCAGCAATCTCACGTCGACACAGAAGAACAGGGGATTTATCTGGCCACTTCCCCAACTGATACCCTGTTCTCTTCACTCACGAAGTGTGCTGACAACTTCAACTCAAAGTAGTTAGTTTCCAGGAAAAATTTAATATTCTTCTGCTCCATTTACCTGTGCAAGAAGTCCTCCAAGAGCAGCTTGCACCTTCAGCCTCTGCTTTTGCAAATACAGTGTATTCCTGAGAGCCCAGACCACTGCAGGTTGGTTTTCTTTCGTAGGCAAAGGGGGAATCTGAGCCTCTGCCGTACTGTACTGGCAGGCTGCATATTCCTGCTTCGTCTGAAGTATTCCAGTGCACTCAAAATCATATTTAATAGAGAAGCGGACTCGGTGTAGTGACTCAGGCTTACAACTAATGCCCATCAGAGTACTCGAGAGAAAGTCTGTACGGGGGAAGGGATGATGGCTTACTACACGGCTAAGATCATAAGAGGTATGGGAAAAGCAAACAGGAAGCCTTCATTGCCTTGAAAACAGAATTAAAGGTGGCCCCTGCAATTCTTACGCTGCAGGTTTAAAAACCTGCTTTCACAGGACTCAGTTTCACCGTGGAACTCGCGAATGCAGATTTGCAGAGGGTGAGGGTCAACTGGTGGCTGTGAACACACCAGCTGTCGTGGTTTGGGCCTGGTTGGCAGCCAACCACCATGCAGCCGCTCTCTCCCCCTTCTCTTCGGGCAATGAGAAGGGACAGAGAGCCAGGCTTGGGGTTCAAGATAGGACTGGGATGGGGAAAAATCCCCCTTTATGGTCATGAGCAAAAGGCAGACTCGTTAGGGGAAGAAAAAAAGAACATACATTTATTACAGACACTAACAACACATAACAGAGTAGGACAGTGAGAAGCATTGCCACATCTTGAGAACACCTTCCCC